TACTGGGGCTTTGGGGGGAAAAAAAAGGAGGAGGATTGGCAATAGATGTTAGCTCAGAGCCAGTCTTCCTCAGCAAAAAGAGGAGGATTGGCACGGATGTTAGCTCAGGGCTGATCTTCCTCACACACACACAAAAAAAGATGACTCCAGTGGCTGTTCAGAGCATGAGCTGGGTGGAGGAGAGGCAAACAGGGCAGCAGGGAAACAGATCAGGCCGCTGCAGCTAGTCAGTGAGAGAAGGCAGGGCTCAGCACAGGCCGAAAGGTGGGAGGCCTCCTCTGCACTGAGCGTGTGCAAAGTGAGTCGTGGGGCTGGGGGAGGAGAATCAGGACGCTCCCAGGCTTTGGGCTTGAGCAACCGTTCATTTGATGACAGTTACGTTTTCATTTCTTTGGTGCCCTGCAGTAGGGACACAAATAAGCCTAACGGCTCCAAGGTGAGAGCCGGAGAAACAGGGCCTTTAGAGGCCAGGAGCAACATCTGCGGGGAGAGGGCTCACGGGAGAATGCTCTGTGCGCCAGGGAAGAGGGGGCGCTGGGAAGGCTGTGTAGCGGGACACAGCTCGCTGAGTCTTGGAAAAGAAAGAGGTGTCCCCGGGCAGCAGGGACAGGGGGACCTGCCTGCAGCAAGAGACGGTTCTTCAAGATACGCACAGCAGGACCTGTTGGGCACCTCATTTCACGGGATGGACCTCACCCTGCATGCACCTTGTTCAAAAATACAGTGAATTCCCATCTATCAATTCCCTCTTAATGGGCATTCTCCCTTTATAAACTTAAAGTGACTTGTGAGAACAATTTTCAGCCTGCTTATGGGTCTTTTATGAATTTTCCTGGAAGCTTCGTGTGTTCTAATTCACTAATGTGGAGGAAAAAGAATTGGGGTTGTATTTACCTCCCATTATCATTCAAATAGAGGAATTATTTTTAAAATAAAATTACTAAGGTAAATTGCCCATTTTTGTATTTCTGGAACATTCTGTCTTTTTTTTTAACCCTGAATCTTTGTGTCTGGCTCATTATCGTATCCAAACTACAGGCCTGTTGCTAATTTCACTTGGCATGGCCAGACATGCTTAATCCCTTGCCTGCTTCAAAGTCAGCAAACACCCAGCTACCAAGATCTTGGTGCTTCTGAGGCTGCTCTGGGGGAGCAGCTGAGTAAAAGCCAATCTTGACATCCCATTGATCTGTGTAAACACGGGCAGGTGTTTATCATAACCTTCACCTCACTTGTGTGCAAAACACACATGCACACACACATACAGGGACAGGTGGCCTCAACATTCAGACAGCTGACAGTTTACCAGGAGGCAGCAAGGATCACCCTGTCACCAGCATGATTGGCTGTTTAGGGGACAGGGGCTCTTTTTCCCTTTGTAGCCCTTATCTGCAAAGCTTCATTTTCCTGATTGAGCAAGTAATCTAAATGGTAATCAAGTTCACACGGGATTTATTAGCACGACGCCCTCCCAGCGGCTTATTTTCTGCAGTCACCCTGAGCACTTTGAAGAATCATTCAGACTTCTGCTTCCTCTATCTTAGAAATACCAAAAC